GGCTGATTTTAGATATTTATTTTGATTTTCTCTCTCTTCAAAATGACTCATTTCTATATATATTCAGACTGATCATCCTGGACGATCGCAACTTCGTCCCGAACGATCCAGCTCTGGAGAATTTCGTCCAGACGAGATTAATTATCGTCCCCGGCGACTTGTCCTCTGGAGCATTTTCGTCCAAACGATCCAAATTTTGTCCAGACGAACTGCTCAGTTTCCACAATTCCAACACAACCTGTACCGATCGTCCTGTGCTTGCGAACAAGTACAGGTATGACTGTCTCATGTCAGACTCCTTCTCTCAAGTATCTTCCCGTGCAGTAAGGTGCTTCCACTGGACTTTAACCATCGGAATCTGTTTACTTCGTAGCTTTCGGACGTCGTACGCCAAAATCAACTCTGGCTCTTCCTTGTTCGCCAGATTCTCCTGAATCTCAACCTCGTCAGCTGACAGCTTCTTCCCAGAGTCAGACCACTTCCTCAAAGTGGATACGTGAAACACGTTATGCACGTCAGGCATCGAATCAGAAAGCAACAGTCGGTAAGCAGATTTTCCAATCCTTTCCAAGATTTCAAAAGGTCCAACATACCTTGGACTAAGCTTGCTCACCTGGCCAAATCTGCTCACACCCTTCATCGGGCTGACTTTGACATACACAAAGTCACCAACTTGAAATTCAACAAATCTGTGCTTCTGATTGTAATATTTCTGCTGTCGGTCCTGAGCCGCTTTCAATCTTTCTTTAATCAAGCTGATTTTCTTAACAGTTTATTCAAAGAAAGTGGCACCCAATTCCTGCCTATCTCCGACCTCAGTCAGAGTCAAAGGAGCACGGCATTTCCTGCCATACAGAGCCTCGTACGGTGTCATACCGATATTGGACTGAAAACTGTTGTTATATGCAAATTCGATCAGCGGAATATGATCTTCCCAGCGGAATATGATCTTCCCAGCTTCCGCCAAAGTCCAAAACACAAAGCCTCAATAGATCTTCCAGTACCTGAATGGTCCTCTCAGACTGTCCGTCGGTCTGAGGGTGAAAGGCTGTACTGAAATGTAGTTTCGTACCCAAGCCTTGCTGAATGCCCTTCCAAAGTCTGGAAGTAAATCGCCAGTCTCGATCAGATACGATCACTTTAGACACATCGTGCAATCTGATAATTTCCTTCACATAAACCTGTGCCAAGCGATCCACCGGATCTGTCTGTCTGATCGGAAGAAAATGGGCGGACTT